TGCAATTTACTCTCTCGCTCCTTCCCTCCTCCCTGACGTCCCTATACCGCTCTTTTTCGCTCTCTCTCGCTCGAAACCGGTTCCCGTTGTGGTATTTGCAAGGATCGACTTTGCACGAGCAAACTAAGCATTTTTCTGCGCACAGGCAAAATAAATTTGACAGCGTAACGTATACCTCTTTCTCTCTTTTTTTTTTTTTTTTGCCGTGCCCAAAGAAAGTGTTGATCACATTTGTCAGTTAAAATTAAAGTTTTAATAAGAAATTGAACAGAATAATGAATGACACTAAAAAAAAGGAAAAGAAAAAAAAAATTTGACGGCAATCGGAAGCGAATCCCAAGCAGCAACACCATCCTACTAGTGGCATAAACCGTACCCATCTGAGCTATTAAAGCTTCGGGCATCATATAATCTAAAGTCACGTATGTTTATTAATAAGCTCCAGAGCTTGTCCTACAGTTCATAGCGATTATGATAAGTAAAAATAATAATTTTTATTTAAGGTGCTTATTAATGTATTGTCAACCTCAAAAAATTATTTTAGTNCTCTACGCAGACTGGATGGTTTCGAAAATTTTTGTGAATGTCCAAATATCTACCTGTTGATTAAATTGTTACTTTTTTTTTTTTTTTTTTTTTTTTTTTAATTTACATATTTGAGTAACAAAGGATATATCGAAGATAAAATAATACATAATGCCCTTGTAATTAAGTCAAAAATAATTAATGGAGTACTCAAATTTCGTACAAAAAAAATCCCAAAGTCGTACAAAAACGATCGACAAAAGATGTATTTATTTGCAAAAAGTATATACACGTATTTTTCAGAGCGCAACAACATATTTCTATAATACTGCTATTCATTATGTACCTACAAATGTGAAAAGAAAAAAAAAAAAAAGGGGGGGGGGAAAACGTCAGTTGGAGGTAGCAAGATATACATAACACCTTGACCACTTTGTTAGCCCGTTCTCGGAGGATGGGGGACGCGCATAATCTATAGAATTTCGTGCGAATCTCTCTATCTCCGGTCGGGCCTTTTCGCATAATTGCGAAATTCAAATGGAAGCCTTGAAAGAGAGCCTCGTTCACAATACACGTATAGGAAATAAGAGCCAAAGAAACTACGCGCCTTAGGCTACGGAGCCGAGGATACCGTATACATACGTATATTTACACACACACAACATTACGTACATCAAACGAAAATTATGCCAAAGGTGAAAGGCTCGAAACAAGATATTCTCGTATAAATATATAATGCCGGATGCGCGAGCGCTGGGCACGGGTACGAATACTATCTTTATTAAAAAAAAAAAAAAAAAAAATGTTAAAATAAAATAAAATTCGCAAAAGCTATGAGAAATCGCCAGTTGTCTTGCCAAGCAATGGCAAAATGTGGACGCGGAGGATTAGCGATACTCATCGGAGAAGGAGAATCAAAGGAAAAAAAAAATAATACTAATAATAATGCGCAAAAAACGAAGAAGAAGATGGCCCACACCATTCGAAGGATGAGTCGGGTCCTCCTCGCATGTATATATAGAAAGGCGTGATTATGCGGTGGTCTAACGGAAAAGGAGCGGCGAAACAGACCACGAGTGCAACGCCCCCAGATGTATCGGGGTCAGTAGCCTTTGTGGAAAAAAAAATGATAATAATAATAAAAATAAAGATCCCTCGCCACGAGAGAGAGAGAGAGAGAGGAGCATTTTGTTCATCAAAACTTGATCGGAGGACGGAGTCGTAGAAAAAAGTTGGCTCCCGAGCGTGTAAGCAAACTTTGAGCTCCAACGCATTAAACGAGTTATTTTGTATTTGCATTAACCTTCGAGAACTCGATTGAGAATCCATTGCTTTTATTGCTCAATGGAACCGTACCTATACACTATATAAAACACCACACGATCCAGCCTTCGAGAGATCACATTTTGCAAAAAAAAAAAAAAAAAAGAGGATCCGCACACGACGATATAAGTTAAGCGCGCGGGTCCCGATATTACGACACAAAACGTACACGTGCCGGTGCCCCCATAGCTCTTAGTTATACCAGGTGATGGCACCAGAACTCGGGCCACTTTTTTTCAACCGCACAGTCTTCGTCTAGCGAGCGTATATAACATTACGTCACTGTTACGTATGCGAGGACGCAACGTGGCTCTAATCTATTCTAATGTATTCGAGAAGATAGCCCGGGGAGGACGTCTCTCGGTATATAATACCCGTGCGCGTGTGTGAGCTGGCATACGCCACTGCATAATTAAACAGGTACTCCGGGCACCGCGTCTGGCTCGCGTCTAGTCTCCGTCTAATATTGCGTTAGACTTTTTATTATGGTCTTACCGGTGTTTCATAATCGGCGGGTCCCCGATCACGCTGCTCCTCCGTCCAAACTTACGCAACTTTGGAGATTTTTTTTTTTATCCGCCATTCGAAAAAAGTTGCGACTCCACTCGAGAGGGGGTGGATTTTCAGGCCCTCTGTGCATACCATTACATATTGAGAGAGGAGAGCGGGTTACCCGTTTGTCACGGAGTGTATAGGTGTATATTGGCTGCAGGCGAAACAGAAGGCAATTAGGCGGGCGAGCAAGTTTGCCGCGCACACACGCCGCGCAATAAACGAGCGGCCAATTTCCGTCAGCCTCTTTTGCTCGCAAAATTTCGATCCCCCTCGGCTGACGCGGTCGCGGTTAACGACCCGCTATAGGATACACGTGACATATACACGCAGTCGCACCCGTTGCCGATTTACCGCTCCTCATCTGCACCCGGATCATCGCAATGACTTTTGGACATTTATCTGCTGCCACTCCGCGAAAGAGGGAAGAAACTTTGCTCTCCCCCTCTCTGCACTTCGTAGTTATGCTTTAATACCGCAATAGTACACCCTTTGCTGCAATCGTGCGCATACACGATGTCATATCGATCGGTTGTACTATTTTTGCAGTTTCACTCGAAGGGTCCTCTGTTTTCCAAAAATACTCCGCTTTAGAAAGTACACGCGAGGCCGAAGTAATATGGGATCTCCAACATGTATCGGTATATCATGTCCGTGTGGCGCGCTCGTAAGTATATATATGTAACATGTATGTATTATAATCTAACAAGCTGTCCGTCTGAGCTCCTCCAGACGGTCAACGGCCTCGTTTCTTCTAGGACTCGCGCACCAGAGGTACCGGCCAAGCACGCGTTGCGTCACTTCACAAAGCGCCGATTAGAATCCAAAGGCACGTCATACTCCCAGGGCGTACCTAATTGTATACGTGTATTGTAACAAACGGGAAAGGCGTGCGGTCCCTCTGATTGGGTGCTGGTGAACGTGCGCATTGTCCTCGCTGTACCAAATTTATGTTCTCTTGTAGACGAGGATCACCCAGACACCGCAGTTAATTGCAAGCGAGAAAAGAAGACAAAGTTACACGAGTCTGCACGAGATACGAGTTCATGTAGGTGTAGGCAGTGAGCAAAAAAGAAAGCTCAGGAGCCGGGCAAAAGCAATCCATTCATGAATATCCTATGAGGGGCGCTAAGCGCTCTTTAAGAGAACGCGCGGTGCAACTTTTTTATCTCCGCCGCTGCGCTCGGAAAATGTGTATACATAAATATATAGGTACATATGGAGACGGAGGAGGGGGAAAGGGGCTTGCAAAAAGCAGTCCAGCTGATGTGTATAGTTACGTTGTTGTATATGTAAAAGCCGCGGCGCGCTGACCCGGTGTAAATCTGCATCAGTTTGCACGAGTCTGCAGGCCAGGGGATCTAAAATTTGAGGGAAAACAAACTGCTTAACCTCAGCATGGGGGGTTGCAGACTCGTTGCCTCTCGCTGGACGTCCTCTATATTGCGTGGGCTGCCATCCAAGTTACTATAGGTACACGAACAAAAGGCGAAGCATCGATTTTGATGGACAAGAACAGGAGAGAGAGAAGATTGCACTTTTGTGCTCGTTTGTGCGAGCGAGTCGCAAAAAGGGAGGTGGAAGGAAATCTCTCTTTGTCGCTACATTCTGGGTTTCCTATACTCTCGGCAAAAGTAGCAGAGATATAGGATCGAGCTCCATTTCTGTTTTTGTGATAGGTTTACCACACGTGTGCGTCTATACACGCAGAAAATAATTACAGGAATTTTTACCGTAAAAGCAACGGTAATCCTGTGATAATTTGTCATTACGTAAATTTTTACCGTAGGTGTTCATGAATTTTTACCATAGTTTACAGTAATTTTTATGGTAACTGTAAAATTTATCCAAAATTCACTATAATTTTTACTGCACGGCAACGGTAACATTTCCCCTGAAAGTGTATATACATGATGCAGTACTCCTTCGCTTATAGTCATTCATTAAAGATACCCGTACTTTCATCTATACGTTGATTTCGGTAATACAGATGTTACGTCTACCTCATTCTCTCATACAGGTTATATAGCCCTCTACAGTATACTGTAGCTATATACACTTTCAGGGGAAATTTTACCGTTGCCGTGCAGTAAAAATTATAGTGAATTTTGGATAAATTTTACAGTTACCATAAAAATTACTGTAAACTATGGTTTTACAGTAAAAAATTCATGAACATCTACGGTAAAAATTTACGTAATGACAAATTATCACAGGATTACCGTTGCTTTTACGGTAAAAATTCCTGTAATTCTTTTCTGCGTGTACCTGTAAGTTACCAACCACGAGAAAAGCCCTTTACACACGTACGGTGCGTACATAAAAATCCAGGCGGCACTTGGGTATAAGGTACCGAGCGCACCCCCATCCCCGACAAAAGCCCCTCTGGCTTGTGCAATGTCCCCCCGAACGGTACCACTATGTGTGTGTACGTCTATTTGCTCGAAACGTACTTTTCAGCGCCGTCTCCTTTTCTACTCCTGATGTATAAAAGTGATTCGTTTTTTTTTTGTTATATTCGACCGTATTCTCAACGATGAACGAAACGTTGATGCTTGACGAAAAATCGTAAAAAAACGTCCCTCTCTGTTTTATTCCAGCTGGCTAATGGTATACGACCGCACTACTGCGACTCGATGATGCAGGGAGCCCAGGGCCTCGACGCGGGGACCGTCACGTACGCCTCGGACGCGAGTGGAAGCCACACGAGCAAAAGCACCAACGGCAACATAATCACCCTGACCCTCAAGAACAATCACCTCATCGTCGAAACGGAGGAGCGAGCGGTGAGGTTATCCTTTTCTTTTTTTACCATATAGTTATACGTCACAACAGTGTTGACGGGACAATCATTCAAATTTCCGATCATCCCGCGACGACGCTTTTTCTCCCCCACCCCTCGACCCCCGGTGCACCACAGCTCGGACGTTTCGTCAAAATGGACATGCAAATTTATGCGAGCGCTAAAGTACCATTTGCGCGCTCATGTTTATGCATATGGGCGCGTTGTGATTGCTAATCCTAAGTGCTAGTCGAGAAATCGCGGATTTCGCGAAAACCAGGTGAAAAAGTTAACGAGAGACGAGTTCCGAGGCGTCGAATCAAGAAATAGAAATAATCCTGTCGCGACTCTTCCGATCAGGACCGAGTTGATGTGGTGTCGGGTGTATAAACGGGAGGGGATCAGGCAAAGCTTGTCACAATCGTCAGAGACACGCGAGAGGAATCCTCGTGGTTGGAGCGAAATAACGAGGAAGCGCTACCGTGCGTATAGCATTGCCGGGTGAGCTCAAGTTGGGTAATACTTGTGTGCACGACGTGGTATCGAAAAAAAAAAAAAAAAAAAAAAAAAAAAAAAATCAAGTGTTTAAAAGTAAATTATTTCGTAGAGCCTCCATGTACACGGTATACCTGTTTCATCGCGTGGCTGAGACGATACTCCTCCCGGGCGACGAGATGAATCTAGGGGATGTTAAGTAAAAACAAAAAAAAAGAACGGGGAGGGTAAGAATAATGGGAATTAGAGAGTATCCAAGGCGTAGCATCTTAACGCTAATCTCTTTACTGCTCCATAGGGGCTTTATATATACATACACCACAAACAAACAAACGGGCGGGTAGCTCGAGCTGATGTTGTGTTGTCTTAAAGGAGCGAGGAACTGCAGAGCGGAGAATGGGGTGAAGAAAAGGAAAGAAAAAAAAGGGGTGGCGGGGAGGTCTGGAAAAGATTTACTCGGCCGAGTGAAGAATGGGAGCGAAACTGCGGCGGAGCTTGAACACGGAGGCTGGGGAAAGGAGGAAAAAGCAAAACGGGAGGCGAAATGAGAATAGACGGGGCGCGCTACCAACGTCCGGCTGAGCATTGTTAGCAGAGAGAGGGTGGGTGCACGTACACAGGGCTCCTTTGCGCCCCCTCCTTCCGTCGCCACACCCTCATTCGCAGGCGCGCGCGCACACACGTAATTATTAGAGCTTTGGAGCCCACGGGATCGAGCTTTCTGGTATATGTATATACAGCTCCGACTCCGAGGCCGGAGGTCACAGTTGGCCTACATGTGCTTGCGTGTCCTACTCACTCTCGACTTTCCACTCTTTGCATCCCCCTGACCCTTTGCCCGAAGCTACGGAGCTTGGCTAAAAACTCGACTTTCCTTCCCGACCAGGGATCTGATTGTGCTAATCGGGGAGCGAAACTTTGTCTGTCGTGTGTCCTCTGACGTGCCATGGCAATTAAAAATTCTACTCTGTTTTAATTGACACGTCTACTCGATGGATTGAAAGCGGACATCATTGCGTGTCTTTCAAACGCAAAAGTTACATTATTTTTTTTCGTGAAACAATTAAAAATTTAAAGAAATTTTTATGTTTATCATCAGCTCTTTACAAAGAAAATTTATAAGGTATTTGAATTATTTTATTTTGCGATTGGATATTAACGTCCGATTTATCAACAAATGACTTTTTTCATGAAAATTTAATTTTTTTTTACTATCCTCTTAACAATAAAATGAACGTTTTATTGCTCTATTTAATAAAATTATAGAAAGTAATGGCTAGGTCATTTACATTTCAAATTTGATATCAAAATTAGAAATCCATTCCAAATCAAAACAATGGAATATCAACTATTGAATCATTCCATATCTCCATATCTTGCAATATGATTTTACTCTACGGGCACAAGCAATAAAATTACAATCTTAGATGTCATCGATAAGATTCTGTTTTATAACTGCAGAGTAATTATGCAATACATTTTTAACTTTCATTTTTAGGCTTTATAACACTAGTATATACTTTTTATTCTACTAAGTACTAAAAGTTTCTGTTTTACCTGAACAGACATACTGTAAATTTTATTTTCAAATATACTTACTTAAATTTAATAGATTACGGTCAAATGTTATGCACTCGCGAGTGATCAACTAGAATACGTAATTTAAATAACAAAAATTGGATGATTACTTTGTAATATTGTTATAAAAATCTTAAACCCAATTCGTTAGTCTTCAATGGGTTTTATCTCCTTGTTTCTCGAGTGCAATGAATGAAACGTGATATACTAAAACCCGTGATACTAACGGAGCGAGGCGTGCATCACCAGCGCTCTTTCGAGTAACGAAAAAAGAAAAAGGGGGAGGTGGGTTTATTCCGACAGTAAAAAGTAGAGCAAGACTCGCGAGACGCGCGCCCCGGCGGCCTATTTTCTCCCGAAAGACCGAGATTTTCATTATCGGTGAAAAATAAAATTTTCCCTCCAACATCCGCGTACATTAGTTGAGTGATTTTTTCGTTCACCCGATGCTTTCATCTTTTCCATTCGTCCTCCTAATTTTCATCTCGTCTCGTGATTTATTTGCCTTATTCAACCTTTTTTTCAATGGTTCTTCTTTGCGAACAGATTAACGAAGATTGAAAAATGGAAATAAAATCTTCGTATAACCCGCGATAAATGCGGGGATGCTGTTGCAACAATAATGATAAAAATACTTAAGTATTTAAAAAAACAAAAAAGGGCAGACGAGCTCTCTTTTTGCCCGCGACAACGTAGAAAGGAGGAAGAAAAAAAAACCAGGGAGCAGACTCTGTCTCAATTAAGCGCGCGGTAGAATGGAGGGGTCGTTTTTTTTCCTCCTTCCTCCTGCTTTATAAAAGCCATGGCTGACGGTGTAGAACGAATGGCCATTCCTCAAGACGATGGAGGGCAAAGAACGGCTCATTGGGTAGCCTCGAGGTCTATTTCCCTTGCAGGAAGCGCCGCAGATTAGCACCGCGGGAGCCGCGGCTATGACGGAGGAGAGAAAAATCACAGGGTAATTGGACCTCCCTCCTCCGCGAGGCGTCGTTGTTAATCATAAAAGTGAAAATTAGATGCGCTGCTCTTGTTATAATGATCACAGCAGATTTCGTTTTCCTTTGGAGATTTCCCTTGAGGCGGATCGATTTCCGGAAAATCTAATCAATAGCTCCGTGATAAGGGGCGTAAGGGCTATTTTATGGAAGTATGAAAAAAATGACGGGGAAATTTCAATGCTCTTGCAGGTGACCATGGAAGATTCGAGAAGCAGAAAGTTTCAGGACAACGGGTGCTCGGTGATCGTCGAGGTGCCACCGAGCTACGGTAGAGAAGAAACCGCGGGTAGTGCAGAGTCGAACGATGACATCGACGCCCAAGTGACCGATCAGCAGGCCCTGGTTCATCGCGAGGAAATATCCGAGGATCGCCGCTGCGGTAATTTACATTTTTTTTTTTCCTTACCGTACAATCAAACGTTCCGTAGGGGTTGGACTCTGTGTCGTCAGGATGTTATATAATATTCTCTTGGATGCATAAACTGTCGCGCAGAAAGTATTAAAAATCGAATATGACACCGTTTCGAGAGTAAAAATCGGGAACAACATAATTGGATGATGGAGATAAAAAAAAAAAATTAATGATTCGCAGAAAGACCAAGTATAAAATAGAACGATAACTCTTACATAAATCTAAATATTCATCATCTAAAATATTCTGTGAAATACAGCATCCACTTAGGGAGTAATCGACATTTTCCATGATAATATCCATGTACTATTCCAACAAAGTATAAAAAAAAAAAAAAAAATCAACTCGACCAGTTCAGTGTCAAAGAGTAAAGAACAAATCGTGCCCAACGAGCAGTAAGCAGCTGTTGCAATTTTCTCGGTTGTTCTGCAGAGAGAGCACCACAAATGCTATCACGGAGGGGGGGAGTCGATGCGCGAGAAAGAAAGAAAAAAAAAACGAACCCTCGAAGCATAAATACATAAAGAAGCCGAGTCGTTTCGTTTTCATCTATCATCGTCGTCGGAAACGCGTGGCAAATTCTTCGCTCTCGGGAGTAACGGTAATCGACGCTCGCGGAATGCCAGCTGAGGAAAAAAAGAGGGAGCTCCCTTTCTCGGGGCTCTCTCTCTCTCTCTCTCTCCCTATGCATGTATAGGTATATACGATGGCTCGGCTACGTGGTTGTGAGAGGAGGCCAGAGGTATAGGGAGCACATCGAGGGGGCGAGAACTGAAGGCGCAGCGGAGGAGCCCCGCACGTTTATATACATGTATACACAAGCGGGTGCTGCCTGATGCTGCGGATGCTGCCTGACCCAGTTTTAGAGCTGTGGACGCGTCACACGCACGCACACAAAGACGTAGGTTGTTCGGTGCTACTTAGTTTCCGCACCAGCTCGTCGGAAAGTAGCGCACACCCAGCCGAACTTGGCGATGTATTTATAGCAAAAATTGCAGCGGCTTGTAACACAAGCCACTCCTTCCTTTTTCTCGCATCGTTTAAATATATACACGCACATGTACCTATATATAGGTATGGCTTACGCATTTTTACATCGTGTGTGTGTGTGTGTGTTACGCGCTTCGGAAGTTCCTGGGATCCTTGACCCCCTTGTCCCTTTTCCTCTGCACAGAGAAATATGTCGCCCGAAAAATTCCATCGCCTTGCATTATTTGTTTGCAAATTGCACTGACAAATAAACGATTCGCCTGAAAAGTACGAAAGGGTGTTTGCATCTATCGTACATTGATTTTATTATGTTTAAAATTGTTTGCTCTGCACAGCACTCTTGCGTTATTTTTTTAAAAATCATTAAGTGACAAAATAAGGCAAAAAACAACCAATGCACGATCCCAACCTGCGTTTCAGACTTTGACAAGTCAAAGCTGTTCGGCAGCACCAACACCGGACTGTCCCAGTCGGACCTCTCGATCTGCAGCCAGGGCTCCGTGAACCCCAGCTACAGATACGGCAACCAGCTGGAGTACGAGGCCGACTCCTTCGGCTACTCGGCGATGTACGGAGCCGGTGGTAGCGGCACCAGCAAGCCACAGACCAGCAACGGCAGCGCCACCCTACTGAAGCCCGAGGTGGCCTCGGGCACCACCAAGTGGGTCGAGTTCGACAGGTCACCCGACACCGAGGCAACACCTCCAACCAAAGACCCCAGAAACGTAAGTTAAAAATCAGAGCCCCACGAGCGTTCCACCTCCATATAACGCAATCGGGGTTACCAGGACTCGACGGAGCCGCAACAGCAGCTGAACGGTACGGCGCCGAACGATCTTCTTCTGGCAGTCGAGGTGGGCTCGGGTAGCACCAAGCCAGTGATAACCGGGGCCATCCTCAAGGACGAGGCGAGCCTTCAGGAGGAGACGTTCCAGGAGCAGCAGCGCAAACTCGGCAACGGCACCCTCACGCCCGAACGCCCCGCCACGGAGGACGGGACGCCCACCCTCGTGAGTACACGACATACACCTCGCGGGTAACCCCAATGAAGGTATATATATATATACATGTATGGACCCATTGTTTGTAGCCGGAGTCGAGGAACGGCGACGCGGGGACGAGGCAGGAGGGCAGCACCTTTGGGCCGGGCCACAAGCGCTCGGGCAGCATACCACCCCGGCTGATAGAGGAGGGCCTCGAGCCCGAGTGCAGGAAGCACCTCGACATCTACAGCCAGATAAAGACGAGCACAAAGGGCATGCTGGTGGGGCTGAGCCCCAAGTTCGAGCTGCTCGAGAACGAGGCCAGCCCCGTCGACGACAAGGAAGCGAGTTAATCCGTCCTCGGTCGCCCCACCTGCTCTCGATGCGACTGACGTTATCATTTAACGTACCCCGCCCTATACTATTATTAAATTGCTCCTCTTTGTTTTTTTTTTTTTTTGTTTTTTTTGTTTTTTTCGTTTCGGCTGAAAAGTCGCATGTCATGTACTCGCGCGTGAAATTACGATTCGACGGGCGTCTGAAAGTCGAGGCTTGTACAGAGTTGGGCGAGTGGAAGGAAGAAAATGGATACACGGAGGAAGGGTCTAGACCATCTAGCCGGGAATTAGATATTAGGGAGCAAATGGCTGCGGGCCGGAGCTTTTGCTGTTTCAGCCGTAACGACACTCGGTAGAAAGTTATAATGGAAGTACCCGCTATTATATACATACACAGATTCGCGCGACGGCGGGAAATATGTGCCAGGGTTGTTTCAATGCTGGGTGGTAGGTAGGTGAATCCGCGTACCTCAAATTGGGGAGCGTAGGGGGATGAAACTTGTAGTCGAGAGCGTATACGCGTTGTGTGCCTGACCACTTTGGACCTCAATCACGCATCACGGGCTTAACGCGTGTCCCGAGGTGAGCGAGCTTGGAATTCGGGAAGCTGGTATATAGGTAGCTGCTCGATATGAGAATTTCAGGCTGGGCTCGACTTTTGACGGAAACAGAGGCTGGGCTCAAAAAAAGTCTCAAGGTCTTTTTAAAATTGACGTGGTTGTTGTGTTGCGTGATACTGATTCTAAAATTGATTTTTGTATATCTTCCGTGTTTTTCGTCAACTATTCGTGAAACTTCAGACAGATTTTATGCGAATTTTGTGAATCTGTTCAAAGTTTCGTAATTTTCAATTACAACTCGCTTGGTTAACCGATTAGCAGGAAAATAACTAAGATTTTACGTATAATTTTTCGTCCAAGTATCATTTGTGTACTGATTGAATCGTAACAAGCTAACAAAAAAGTAAAACATTGTAAAACTTATGTAAATACATGCAAATAAATTCATCGTGTGAAATGTTGCCGTCTGCATTTTTACCAACAGGAGCATCAAAAACACAACTGATGATCAAAAGTACTTCTTAAAAAAAAAAGAAAAAAAAAAAAAAAAAACCCTACGTGAGAGGTTTCGTTGAAAATCAAAAAAATCTTGAACTCATGATTTATAAATATCTTACACGACTATTTATACGTTTTGAAGTTACATTTTTTAGTGACTCAGTGTAGTGAAAAAGAAAATTTTGTAATTACCTGTAGTATCCATGTTGGATGTTAAACTAAATAGATATGCGAATTTGTCGTAAATAATTTTTATGAAATTACAAAACAAATCAACAGTACTCTTTCGTGTGGTCGAAATAGCGATCAATATGATTTGTATAAATTTTTTTCAATTTAAAAAAATATGTGTATGCATTTCTTAAGATAAACTATCAAAAAAATGATCAATAATTACAATGAATGATAGTGAAAACAATACGTCAAAACCTCAAGCTGTATCAGATTAAAGTAGCAACAAATAAACCGTAAATTCAATCTTGAATTTTTTTACGTTTTAGTAGCACTAATTAGCTAAAAAAAATGTTTTAGATATTTTTGCAAGGTATGAAGTAGAAGGTAATTACCACGCATTTGTTTTTAACAAGTACAATGTGCTGCTCATAACTTTACTTGGAAGATGATAATAGTTCCTTGAATTAAAGAACGATGAAATTGTGCTAAATTAACTTGGTGCGAAGACTTCAAAAATACATTTATCATCAGATTTTTATGTAAGCACAATAATAACACGATGTGATATTAATTTTTCAGATTTTATATGCTTACGTTGAATGTTACTAAATATTACTGATTGCTGTTACCATTATGATGTTATCTAAAGATGGATTCAAAACGTGTGATTACAATATAAATGCTTGTACAAAAATAATCTATATTATTTGCTCTACCAATCAAATGTTGGTTTTATTTATATGTTTATGAATATATGTTATAAAATTTTTAAGAGATCAAGACTTTTCATTGCAGTTATTTAATTTCAAATATACTTGATTGCAGTTGTAACTCTGTAAATAAATAATGTTACTTGATCAGATAATATAGTAGGTATATAAAAAAAAGGAAGCAACGAACGTCATCATAAATTTGATCGTATGAAAAACGTTAAATTTCTTTTCTTTCCGTCCTCAAAATGCTTGAAAATAAAGTTAGAGCGTTAAGCTACCCAAATAATAATGGTTTGAATATGTATACCAAGGCTGCCCTGTTCAGACCTTTTATGACACAATCTTTAAATAACTATGTACCCCATAAGCTCATTACCCTAAATCTGATTATCTATTCTAGAAAAGTCGAGTCCTAGATCGTAAGTATTTTCAAACCAATCAAAACCATTTAGATAAGATAATTTTGACAAACTGTGTGATTCACCTCTTTGTTAGTGAGGGTGAAATGCGCTAATTTTACTCTCGATAACGTTTTGTTTGAATCGAGAATGTATTTAAAAAAAAAAAAAAACTTTGAGTGTGTTCTAAAAATATACATTTACAATTAATCCATAAATGTAAATTTAGGTAATCATTCAAGAAGATCTGAGGCGCGGTTGTGTATCCTAATTACTGTTCTCTCTATGGTACTCTATTCTAATCCTCCCATTTCTAAAATAATTGAGAAAAAAATCAAAACACGGCACATTTAGAAATCGTAGTCAACTGAGGTTACAAAAATATGATATAACCGTATTGAATACTTAAGATTCACATTGACAATGTAATTGTAGTGAAATACATAAGTTTAATAATTGTTGTAGATTCACTTCAATTTTTATTTTTTCGTGCACCGTACAAAAATATTATCAAAAATTGCGTCAAATTTTTTTATAACTTTATTTTTTCTGAATAAAAATGGTAAATTTTTTGTACCATACACAAGTATAAAAATTAAGTAAAGAAAAAATTACAACATTTATAATATTTTGTAACCATTTTTGAATAATTTAAACTACATTTATCTATTTGATGGTATTTTGATAACAGATACCTGGTGTAATTATAGACTTACAAATGTGTTTTTCTGATAAAATGTTGATAAAAAAATTTTGCGTGTTTGATATGATATACATGAAAACGTTTAATCGTGATGTAAAACAGATTATTATTTTAGTTGATTGATATTTTTTTGATGATGAATGCAAGTATACATAGGGTTCAGAAAAAAAACAACCCGAGATGAAATATACGATTTATGTAATCAGATTTCATATTATTTGTTAAATGTGAAATATTCAACGAAAAATTGTAATTTGGAATAAATAGAATATACGAAACTAATGAACACAGTTACCGTTTTTTTTCAAACCAAATCCAAACATTCCATCCCAATTATTTATTGTTCACTCTACACTTGTCAAGTTGAAAATCTTATTCAACGAAATATATTTTTTCAAAATTTTTATCTACTAGTGATGAGTAGAAATTTTTTTTTTTTTTAAATTAAGAACTGTAGACATAGTTGCTTATTTTTTAAAAACTTTTAAAGACAATGTACAATCAAACAAATTCAGCTCACTTCGTGATCAATCAACAATTGTTAGTTCGGAAAAAGCGCCAGCAAACGTACCAAAAAATTTACTGTTGCGAGATGATATTTTATCGGCAAGCGGTAAAATTCTCCGTCAACTGATTGTTGCCAGAAGCCCTTTTTTGTTCGTCGAATCTTACTATAACTTACCCCCAAAAGGTCAGCGACGCAAGCTCCATCTAGCACGGGGTGCAGCAACTAACTGAACACGGTGGTGGTGGTGAGTCGCGGTGCCTGGTGGCAATTTTTCAAAGCTCCCCGCGACTTGCTGAATTATACATGCGTGTTTTTAATTCTGTAATCAATAGTAAAATGCAACCTGCTCGCCCTTCGAGTGGCGTCCCGCACACAGATCTAGCGGGCGCTCATTGGAGCCCCGCTTCGTCTGGGTGGGGCTTGGTTAGCGAATTTTTTTTTTTTTTTTTTTTTTTTCATCCCCAATTGTGCCGTGCTCGCGCGGACATTGAAAATTATTGACGTTTTATACATATAATTTTAAGTACTTCCAATCGCGTGATTCATTATTGCTCCTATAGGGCCATTATTTTTCGGAAATCTAATTTATAGCTCGGCACTATTTTCAGTACTATCGGTTCTCCGATCAAACAGAGCGGATAATTAAAATTACTGCCTCCGTGAAACGTCGTGCTGTAAAATGAAACAAACTTTTTTTTCTGTTTTTTTTTTTCAAACAAAATTATCATGTTGATTGTACGAATATGGTAACGTCGTCGTATGTCTTCAAGGGGATGCGTGAAATTATGTACGACGCGTTAATCTTCGATCAACCCGATTCCTGTACTTTCAAATCATGCACACTTCATAATACGATCGATAAAATATTTAACGTACAGGCAAAATCAATCGAGCGCGTAAAATAGACAAGTGAATAATTCGCTCGCACGAAGGGATTTAAATAAAAAAAAAAACCTTAAAATATCCAACGTTACTTATGATGAAATCCAACGTATGTCTATAATTACAATCAATAGCGAGAGGTAGACAAATGCTCGACCAGTTTTACAAGTAAGCCCGAATTAGCAATGTTGGACGTAATATCCGTAAGACTCGAATTCGGATCTGGTGACAAAAAAAGAAGCTTTTTATGTACTGTTACATCGTTTTCTAATACCTCACTGTCGGTTGTTGGTATATTCCAGTTGCGAAAGCACACCCGGGACTACAAACGTCCCAAAGTTTGGTTCGATTGACCAACCGTACAAGCGAATACGCGTACAGGACAGTACTGCTGCCCATTGAAATAACTCTCAATCATAATAAATTAATAAAATTGACAAGGTATTTGACCAATTTATTTTTTATTTTTTTTTTCATATTAACTGATAGAACCAATTATCGGGTCAGTTATGCGCAAGGTACTTTTCTCCGTAAACTCGTAAAATTTAGGAAAATTTAGGATATGCGAAAAAACACACACACACCTAGAAACGAAAACAGCAGCAATCACCGCAGAAACGGATAAACACGAGGG